GGGTTGGGTGGGAGGGGGGAGGGTTGGGTGGGAGGGGTATAATCAGAGCAACTAGAACACACAGAGCATACCGGAGTGAATCGTGTTTGTTGGAACTTAGACGAATTGTCGATCGGGATTTGCTATTGTATACTTTTGTGCTGAAATAATATAAATCGTTGGTAAGTTGATAAGACCTCTTCACTCATGACACATTTGCTCATAGAGTGATTGAAGGCGTGACCTCTTCTACAAGAGAATTCTAGCACATTTTGTCAAACTTGATATCTCTATGCGCTACCCAACCCGCGGGGTCGTTAAAAGTGTGATTGATTTTTTTCGAATTTATTTGCAATTTCGTTAAAATAATAAATTAAGTACACATCGTAAGCTTTGTTATGATTTAACTGCGATTTGAGATTTCGAAGTTGCTGCTGAATAGCACGATGAGACCCGAATAGAAACCTTATTCTCTGTCTCCTTTCATACTCTATTCGTTTCGCCCGTTGCCAAACTATTCCGTTACTTTATTGCTAGAGGCAGCAGTGCCGTGGAAGGTAGTGATTGGATTTTCACCCTAACTGACTCGATATTTCGCCTTTGATGCGCTTCAATGTTTTGTTTAGATGATGCGAGAGAATAGTGAGGATTGGTTAAATGAGACGGTTCGTACCTCCCTCCACATGCCGCTTGTTAGAATGCACATCGATTTATCCAACCTCTCGTATTCCAAAGAAAAGACCAAAATTCGGTGGCGCAAAGAATCTACTTCAGAAACGGTGAGTCATTTGTTGAAATGTCTAATTTTGAAAAAATACGCACGTCTCTACTATCTTATGACAAAGCGTTCTCTGAGGTAACAGAAGCTGTCAACCTTTTTCCAAATTAGAATCTCAATATCTGGGCGTCCAACAACGAGCATTGAATAATGGTAGAGCAGCATAAAATCATATGTGTAGAAAGTCTCCGTATGATACCCAGAATTAATTTGACCGTGTTGTGTCCTTCGTGGGTCTTACGAATAACCAATGGAAAGTCATCAAACAGTAAAAAATAGAACATACCTGTGAGCCAAAAGTATCTTAATTCATAGTGGTTAAGTTCCTAATATGTGTTCTATCTTTATACACTATTGAGCACCACTGGGTTACCATTGAATGTTCATCGATAGAATTCGAACCCTCCCTAAAATTTTTAATGCACCAAAGCTTAAGATACTTCACAAAATATGTCTGTTGGTCTCACTATTTTACTTCTAAACGGCTGTCTGTTAGTGAAGTGGTATGCAAGCAACCAACAATGCATTGTGTAAGAAAATTCTTTATATGACAAAATGTTCTCCAATTGCAGAGTGACCCAGAATGAAGAAGTTGGTTGTTTTCCTTTTTGGTAAATCATTTTCACTAATTGCTATAAGAGACTGCTGCAACCTAGTATAAACATCGACCCCCCCACCTCATACTCTTATACCGTTTTGGTGAACAAAGTAGTTTCATAATCCAGTTGGTAAATAGCTTATGGGATTAACATTAAAATTTTTTCTTGTGAAAAAGTGCGTTTTCAAATAGAATTTTATAACATCGAACAAGAATCTCCTGAATCAAAAATTTAACTTAAATTCATTATTATGGCTTACCTGCGTTTTCTTACACCCTTTATTAATAATGCCTGTAGAAGACTGAATTAAATCAATAAATAATTAAACGAATGTCTAATCAATGATTGTTTCAGATTAATGTATTCAATAATATTAAAATTTTGGAGAATATTTCCTTCATTTTAAGGGAAAGTTATGGACAAAGGTATTGCCACCCCAATTTGGTAGAGAAGCTCATTACTCCTTTTGACCTTATTCTCCCATTGGTATTTTTTATAAGATTTTTAAACTCAGCTTTAAAAGGACATATTTACAACTGCTTCTTAAGCAATAAGTGCCCTTATTTGTGCGGTCTTATTCATTTCGGAGCAATTTTGTTTCAATGCTTTTACTAACCATATTGATTAGATTTTTGTTTGACTGTTATTCTACTATAATTCTTGCAGACAGAAATCATAAAAAAGTAAACGGCTCACAAACAGACCAATAAACTCAAAGGTAAGAACAGTTCTAAGTAGGCTGGGAATTAAGGATATTATTATGATCTGCAAAAACGTTTTTTTTTCAATTTGGATTGGCAACGGAAATCCTAAATAATCGAATGACGTCAGCAAAGATGACGTTTTAAATGAACCGAAATTGGCATTAGTCTGCACGATTTCTCATTAAAAATAGCATTATATGGTGAAAATTATATTTAAACTGCAGAGAGTTTCCTGATTTATGTGATTCGGATCGACAAAATCAAAATATAAATATTATGTCCCCCCTTAATTAATTAATTTGTTCAATTCGAAAAGTATGTCCATCTAAATTTCAAAACAAACGGGAAGTAATCTGTTCCTGATAAGCCCAAATACTTATGCGCGTTGAAATTTTTGGGTGACTAATTGAAACTACATTTGCTTAATTAGTATTTTAAATGCATTGGCCAGGGTATTGTTTTAACCAAGAACGTGATGAAAGTGTGGGAGGAAGGAGTGAAATTTGATGCTAGGAGGTCTTCATTATTAATACACAAATCCACATGAAATTTAAAATAAATTAAGAAATTCCAGAATTTCATCATGAAAAAGAAAGTGACTTGGTCATCACTTAAAGACTTCTATTGTAGTTGAATTTTGTAATCTACTCATGTATATATTATTAGGCATTTCACCACTTCAAATGTCACTTTATGGGTTAATGAGTAGAGTTTTGAGCGAGTAATTGGGATTATCAGTCTTAAGGCTTCAAAAAGTGTTTCACTTTTAAAGTCTGAGAAAGAAGAATAAACACTTTTTACCTTAAGCCCTCTTTACGCAAGTAACTTAATCAGACTTAAAAAAATTTATCGTGCATGACTGAAGCCAACGTTTTGAAAAGATCATTTTCCTGGAATCTTAACGTTCTATTGAAATTGAGTTAGTCAGAGTCAACACAACGAAGAGATGCTCGAACATATTGAATTCAAATGAATAAAAACTTACGATACTTCATATTCGGTCATTGCTCTATTCCTGAAGTGAAAATTGTTAAAGATCTATTGTCTAATTATGGATAGTTTTAATCACGTAGATTCGATATGGTTCAGCCTATTTAAATGAATAACCAATCAGTATAGAAATAATTGAGTTATTATTTGAAATTGATCGAGCAGTACGAATTTTTTCAACTAGGTCCGTTTGAAAGCAACATAAGAACTAACTCAATTCCACAAAATTGAAAATCGCAAAGAAAAGTGTGAATTCAAAATAAATCTGTTTATTAAACTGATTGGTGGTGTCACATCTATCGACTTGCAAATAAGAATGAGTTGAAAACCTTGCATAATTATCTTATTAAATTTACCACGAGTTCTTTTATTCAATTTTAAACTAGTTTTAAAATAGACAAAATATTCATTTTTCGAACATCGAGTTTTAAGGTCATAATTAAGTTCGATATTATCGATCAGTCATTGATACGTTTAGGAACAATTTTTAGCAAAAGTATATTTGATTAATTCACCCGAAATATTAATGAATCTTGTTGAGAAGAAGAGCTATTATAGGGATTAAGTGCTGAAAATGTGTAACATTGTTGCAAAATCTTTTAAATATTTTGATCAATGTCATACAATGCTTTTATGTGCTAATTTGTCATGTCCAGAGCTAATCACTTCCTATCTTAAGTTATTTATATTCTGCTCCACAATTTTATTTAAAATTGTCCATAAAGAAGTACCTCTCCAATATTTGCATGAAAAAATAATTAATTTTCTTATGGCAGGATATGAGATAAAATTAATTAAATTATGAGTTATAACGTGATCTGAAACGGGACAACAGAGAATGGATAGGATAGTTTGATGAGATCTAGAAGGCTATCACTCAATTTCTTAAAACAATGCCAAGTATATTTTTGAAAAGGTTATTCTTGCGTCTTCAGTCAAGTACTATAGCATGTCTTTATGTGATGATTATCAACTACGCAGGTTGTTATGCATATTATGGACGTTATCGATTTCCAGGCCTTTATTGGCATTCGGAGCGCCGTTATAGAATCTTTTGTTGTGAGTTTTGCGTGGCAGCTATTGACGATCTTTCATCCCTCCAACCGCACACTTCTTTCCAATAATAGTTTAATTATTTTTTTGGTATTAAAATTCATTTGGGCCTCCTAAGTCCCACATAAAAACATTGACAGGATTTCATTTACTTCCCAGATTGGTTCCTACAAAACTCAAAGCTATTCAATCAGCCACGTAAAATTATCCGTTAAGAAGCGTTCGGAGCACCTTCGCAAGGAAGACATTCGATTCCTATCAATTTTAAAATCCAACCTCAAACAAGGAACTGTCAGCAATGCTGTCAAGGTAAGCTTTTTGACAAAGGTTGTATTCTCTTTTCCATAAAATCTGTCCCTCATGCCGATCATCAATTCACTGGAGAAGGAAGAATGAAGAACTTTGATAGAAGCGCTTATCGTCAGATATTACTTATAGAATCATTTCCAGTTGGCCACTTCTAATTGTAAAATTGGTTGGGTGTGTACGATCAACAAATAGAGACATAATATTTACAATGAGGGAAAGGTAGTATATTCGGGTAAAGGATGGCATTCGAATTTAATAAATGATTGGAAAACATCAAAGTTAAAGTGTTAACATAGAAAATTTAATCGCAACATGCACAATACGAAATTCGTAGTTACGCTATTGCAAGTTCATCTTCTAATAATATTAAAATTGCTTGTTACCTTTGCTTTTGAACTACATTCGAATTAGGTCTTCTATTCATTTTACCGAATTGAACAGTTAAGTAATTTCTGGATTTTTTATTCTTAATTAATTATCATTAATTATTTCTTAATCTCAACTTCACTGAATGCTATTCGAGTAGTGTTAGTAAAATACCCAACTGTCGATCTCAAGCTGCTATGTGTGAAACGCATGCGAGTTAATGAAAAAATACCACTTCTTGTGCACTTTTGCAACTATTGATTCAGGTATGTATTAAATGAGAAAACTTGATCTTAACGTTTATAAAGTGAATGCAATTTCCTATGTGGTTAAACAGTAAATGTTGACGACCTTAAGGTATGGGTGAGTGCTTTCTCAAAAATTTAAATTTCCAGGAATAGCTGGAAACAGAATTGGTTATAGCGAAGTAACTATCTATTGACTTGAAAATTACATGCATAAAGTCGTGTACTATTGGCTTCGATCTGTTTTCAACATAAATCACTCCAAATATACAAGAGATCTTTAAATAATCATCTGAATTAATCGAATTTTCACGTGAATACTGTATCCATTCAATGTGGTGTACAAGACTCAGAAGGAACTTGTGAATGTTTCCCTTAAATTTCAATTTCATTTGGTCTCAATGATAAGAAGTTTAAGGAAACTTTAAACGATTAAACGGATTTTTAGCCTTAATTAAATGACTTACACTAAACAGAAGTTGAAAAATTTAATATGCGTTTTTTTGCTAAAAGAAAGATAAGGAAATTGAAGATAACGATTCTAAAGGCCGGAGCTTTTAATTGGAATTTGACGTCGCTTGATGGCTTGATTGGCATTGAAGTAGAACACATCCCAATCAAATTTGCTTTTACATATAGAGATGTCCTTTGCAAATCAAATTATCTTATGCGCTATCATATTGCAATGACCTTTACAAATATACAGAACAGTATCTGACAATTTCAAGTAGCGCATTTGACGATTGTAGAGTACCGGACTACATATCTAACCTGCTTGCGAGAAATGTCTATTGTGTACCAGTGTGAAAAGGCTATGTAGACTACAATTAGGATAGGTATTTGATATTTGTTTCCTTTGTGAATCACTCGGTGGCTGAGGAGAGATCGGAATCATCATGCAATTTTATACATTTAGACCTGAAATAATTGAAGGCTTAATTTGAACATTGTGAATGTTAATTACCACGCAATGTTTGTTTTCCATTTAAGTGAAATTAAAAGAAATAGTGCGTGTCTAAAATTGTAAAATAGCATAAGTTCAGATGATGAAACCTGTGTCGTTTTAACAGCTATTGGAATTTAACATCTAAAGCTCACTTTAAATCTTCTCTTCATATTTTATTACATTTTTTAATGGTTTTAACGCGAATAAAGTGGTCTGAAATGCTTATAGTGGGTGATTATTAACGCGCTAGAGAGAAGTGGGAAATTTGACATCACTATCATAAATTTGCAATTAATCTTCCTTCTAACGTTAACGACATGAGTCTTAGGGCATATTTCAATCGTTATTTTATTATTGCTGCTAGACTTTTACATCACCTATTAAAAGAACAGTAGTAATATTTAAATGAATTAAGGCTTTAATAAGGAAATCATCCTAATTGATGTCTAATTGTTAACATTTTAGATTGTTCAAGATAGAAATTGCGCAAAGAAATCGGAGTCGGAGAGTGAGACTAGGAGTTGCCAACGATTGTCTCCACGAGTTTCCTGGGAGGCATATTGCAGTTGGAAACTTACTGGTAATGATCTCTACATCGGCCTCAAACCAAATCTCAAACACCAAAGCAATGACATAAAGCTTACTGCTGTGATGGTAACATTTGATTTACTTGAATTAAACAAGCTAAATGACATATTCTTCCCTGCAGACAAATGATGTAGACTTCAAGATAACTTAGTAAGCCTAGGAAGAAATGTATATACGCATATATATTGTTGCTTAAGAAAATGCATCGCTAACTTCCCATTTCGCCTTCATTGTTTAGTCTCTTGGATATGTTTAAATGCTTATCCCCGTTGCGAAAGTTTACGAAATTAAATGATGCAGTAATGGACTCCTTGCCTGATGGATTTCCTGTTCGCATTGGTACGTCTATTCAAATATCAACACTTTAACGTTCGAATTACTTTATATTAAATTGCACCCAACCACCCCGCCCCCCCNNNNGCCCCCCCCCCCCCCCCCCCCCCCCCCCCCCACGTGTCTCACAGCAGTCTGATGCCGCCGATGTGATGAATTTGGGTGGTGTCAAGCGAAGGATATAGACGTATTGAGCATGTTTCGAACTACAATAGCTCATACTGTTGCGAAAATAGTATCAAAGAAGCTTTTTTGAAAGAACATTAAATGGTTAAATTTCGATGTGCAGCTATTTGCTCGTCAGCTGTTCTGAATTCGTCTTACTTAATATTAGAAATATACCAATTTCGTTAAAATTAATCAATAATACGAGTTGGCTTCTTTCTTCTTGGTAGTCCAAGCTATAGCATTTAGTAATTTTGCTAAATAAGTTAAGATCCATTTTAAGTTTGCCGGTCAACATTTGTTCTGACTACAAACCAAATCATTTTAAAACTTTTAACACTACTTAGTTCTGAAAGTAGAACATATATTAGGTTTCAAATCATTGAGTACCTCATACTTGCCAAGAATCATAATGATTGCCAAAATTCTTCTAATTTGCAAAATGGTAATTATTTGTAAATAACACCAGACACTAAAATCACTGCAATAACTTTATTGAATCTAACCGATTTAATTTAGATGTGCCGGTAGCACCGAGTGTAACTGGACGGGTAACTTTCACCAAAGTAGAGCTTTGTGAACCTGGTAAAATGACCTCCACCGGAATCATACTTCAAGATGAAATTTTTCGAATTCCTATTGGCTACGACTCCAATGACCTTCTATAGAAATTGTTTAAATTTGAATAATTTTTTCTGGGCTTTCTTATATTTTGTCTGTTTATTTTCTATGAAAGAATTTGAAGTAATTTGAAATAAAATGAACATTTCAAATAAATTCTTCATAATTATTTTGTCATTAATAAAATTATACTACAATGTTCTTGTATTTGAATATTCTAATTTGAAAAATAAGGTAATAGTGTTAATAACTTACAGCAACACTCCTTTATAATTTATTTTCAGGAAACTTGAAATTCGCAATTATAAATTTTCGAAATATAACCAACGCTGATTTGTATTTCAATTAGTTTAATGAATTCTAAATAAAAAAATCCGTTTGACTCTTTTTCGGTCTGAACCACCCGATTCGCTGTGGATTTTCTAAGTGCTTTCTTGTCCAGATAATCAAGAAAGATTTCATCCAACACGGGACAACGGTCATGATGACATATATATATATATATATATATATATATATATCATCACTTTTGGGACAGCTCCTACCCAGTTGCCTTAATTGACTAACTTCATACGAGCCAATTATTACCAATTACGGAATCAATCATAACATAAAAATATATATAAACGATGTTTATGTAACTAAATATAATTCAACTATTCAACAATCGGCAATCTTTTCTGACTATAGGTTCGTTTAGATTTCATAAATCTTAGTTCAAACCATATATTTGAAAAGATACTATTCACTTAACCTAACTTCATGACTAAAAATATTACTCCAATCTGATATGGGAGTACTGACTGAATTATATTGTAAATTGTTCAATATACGCGGTCTTGTCTGAAGAGAGATGCCCATAAATGAGGCTAGATTGGCCTCACATCTATAATAACTCAACCAGCCAACGGGTAACCAATAGAGTGAGCCTAAAGCCACATCTGAAACTAGGTGTCAAATCATGCATAGTGAAAATAGCGATATTTCAACGTAAAGTTAACCCTTCTTGAAGGAAAGAAGTCATTGACTTGTTTCACGACACCCTCTTTCCCATTTACTCGCATCATACCCAGTTTGCTTTTCTTTTATTCGGGGACTTGAACACAAATAAATCTTATAGCAGTTGTCGTTGGCAACCCGACTGGCGATATTATATATAAATTGGACTTAACTTTTCCGAAATTTGATTAAATTGGTTAATATTGTTTAACAAATTGATGTTTTAATTTTTTGATAAAGAAGTGAAGTGAAAATATAAGTGGAATGCCTGATGAGTAGTTCGCCTTAACGAAATTAACATTTTCCTTGTACTTAATTTTCTTTATTAATTGAGGTGTCAACTAAGCCTTAAGTTGTTGTTATGAAACATTATAAAGTACGGGATACTGCAAAATCTATGAATCGAACTGGAAGATAGTGTTTTTATGAAATCTCAATAAGAATAAATATTCTTTATTCTTCTAGTTGAGATATTGAGATAAATTAGCGTTCCATATTTCGTGGATTGGTAGTGATATTAGTCAAGAAAAAAATTATAGTCACTAGATTTTAGTAATTACTTAAAAACATCAAGAAGGGTTATATAATGAAAACGAAATAAATTTTCACGAATTTTAGACTTTTCTTTAAATCCTACAAATTACACTTTACTTTCCATGATTTCTAGCATTGATTTTGAAGGCGTATCTATTTAATAATGATTATTTAGTTTTCCAAAAATCGATAAGTTAAAAATAAAAATGTGAGCTGTGAAATTTGTGTAAATCTTTCTTTAAATTTGCAGCGATACTTATTAGAGGGCAGTTTGAAAAAGTAAAATTCTATTGCTAATACGCTAGAGGGGTATTTAATCATACTTGGAATATTCTACAATGGTTGTTTTGCATTGATTTCAAACTTCAGACGCCTTATTACACATGACAGTTCATCAAATGAGTCCAGCTTCTGTCGATCGAGCCAACACAGCTTTTTACCCCTTGTTTAACAAAATGCAAATTTGAGATAATTTTAAATAGGTCAAGTTCACATATATATTTATTCACTTGACCCACTCTATGCATAACTTGCAAATTATTATAATATTTAAATTTTAATTAGCAAAAATGGGGCATTATGATTAAATGCACACTGTCATCACTATGATGACAGTCAGTCCTAAGTTATCATCTTCTCTTGTCGTCATTTCATCAATTGATCTCCTCAGATAGCTTTAATTAGGGAAAAAGCTAAATGACATTTCTGCTGATTTATCAATTCATCCTCTTTTCCTAGAAGTGGCTTAATACTCCATTGATTGGAAAATATTAGAACAGGAAGTGACTTTATCTACTTTGTTCCGTTTGTGACAAAGGAAGTTAGCAATTTGAAATTAAAATATATGACACATATAAGTCACCATGATTGAATATTATTATCACTTTTTGTTGCTAATAATGAGTGACGACCGATTTAAACTAAGATAAAGAAGTTGGAAATAAAATGTATGAAGATAAGAAATTTTGGTCTTGGGGTTTTCTGATGTACTTCATGACTTGGGCAAATTGCACTATTCAGTTATCAGATTTTTGCTGATGTTAAAGAATTTGTTTTGATCCTCTTGAAAAAAGGGCATAACTTATTTGCTAGATAGTAAGACATTAATAAATTTACTTCCAATCATGATTGCAGATGGTGCGTTAAGAAATCGAGAAATTAATGGTGTTCGTTAGAGTACACATCAAGAGTACATTAGTGATGGCTCTAAAACGTTTCCAAATTTGTCCTTAATTCACAAAAACAAACAGATTAAAAAGACAAACTAACAGTTTAACAAATTTTAATTTTGATTTGACAGGAAAAGAAGTCTGATTAGTGTGATTATTAACAGTATGTGCATCAAAATTAAGTCCTCTAAATTGGAAAATATGTGTAATTTATAAATTTGATTTATGCCTTGGTTTTAAACAAAAACTTCAAGGCTGTTTTGCATCAAGCCAATCCGCGCTGAAGATCATGGATAAACATTCAATTAGCGAATCAGGAAAGTAGTTAGAAAATCAGTATACCATAGAGAAAAACCATGAAATATCCGTCAAGGGAATATTTGCTAAAAATAGAAGTTAAAAGTTAAACTTAAGTTAGTCTTTAGGCACGTCTCTTATAGCTTCTTCTCCTTGTGCTGATCAACCTCACCTACCTGATTGCACTCGCTTCCCCGTAATGGAAGATGATGACATTTCTCTAATTTATAGCAGCAACCTACTTTCCCATAAAAAAATCTCGAATTTTTAGGATAAATTTGTGAATGAATCATTGCTTGGTTCAAGAGCGTTTCTTCCAGCCAGAGGGGAAGTGAATAGTTCAAGCACTATGAAACCCATTTTCATAATAAATTAATCTAAGTGTGCATTTTACTAATGATTTATTTACTTATTTCAAATGGCAGGCGCTCTGATAGTTATCATTAGCCATTTAGCTGAATTTGGGCTACACAGAGAGGAAGAGGAACAACAAAATGACTAAATTTGGCAGAATAATGATTTACAGATGTAAAAGGGACAGACACAAAGGCAGAAAAAAGGTGAGGTGAGTACTGTGAAAGGAGATGAATATGACAAACAGTCGTGTCATAGTAGTTTGAAGTCAGAAGTTAACTGCCGGCTAATAGACTTTTTTGCCGTATGAGTATACGTTACCCAGAGTGCACCACGTGGAGATAAGTCGATCGCATGCCTCGTTAATAATTATAATATTTTCCATTATGCCAGCATTTTAGTTTCATGATTTTGGATTAAGTTTAACTGAATCAAAGAGGTCTTACAATCTTTAATTTTCGAATGGCTTTCGGTTTTCAGAAATTTCACTCTCCAGATTAAAATTCCTTCCCATAATTTAAAATATTAAATATACCCTTTATGGAATCGCGTTTTATGAATACTAACTGAAGTCCTGAGTTATCTCCCTGCTTATTACAAGTCCTATTTTGGTAGATCAATTGCAATGACAGTTAAATATCCATATTCAGGGATTATTTGGACATTACTGAAATCCAAAATGGAAGTTAATCACGTGTTTACAATTGTTTTCGCCATCTGCCATGCAATTATCCAGGGATTTCCCAACAATATCACGAGTTAATTGAAGATTAAAAGGCCGAATTGCCGGCCTCATTAATTTTTAAGTCAGCACCATTAATTGATGGCTGAGGATTTTAAAGAAATACGAGGCCTTTTGGCAATGTTTGAAAGTTAATTATTTCATTACAAAATCGACTTGGTTAAATTTCAGTTGGAGGTGAAATCCCTTTTCTTTCTAGCCAAGTCTCTAGCCTAGGCTAATATCAAATTTATTTGAATCGCTTACCCATTAAGGTAATTTTTTATCTGCCTTAAGTTTTTTTCTCTTTTATCCCATTGAATTACATTGAATAAGGTCGGGTGGATTTCGAATTTAAATAATTAAAATTCTCTGCTCTAGAGTACTTCCAGACAATAATGATTATCCCGTAACCTATTCTCCAGAATGCTGGTCTTTAGGCAACGCAATATAACGTGAAAGTGAAAAAACAAATTTAAAATTTATTCCATGAATAAAATTGGTAAAAAGTGCAACTGCGTTAAATGTGACTGGACTGTTTTCAATCCCGACTAATAGCCTATTAGAGTTAATTTCAACTATATATGATTAGGGGTTTTCGGTTAGATCACTTCGCCTAGCGTGCATCTCTACATTCAATACCTCTAATCTCTGATCATTTCATTTAACATGTTTCCTTTAGTTCACCGTTATCGTATTAGCTTTTCATCACTTGTCACCATTCCTCCCAATCAGTTATGAATATTATCTTGTTATTCTTTATAGCAACCTGATTATAATACGAAAGTGTCATTTACTTCCGGATTAAACAGTCAATATGTTAGTCTTTTTAGCCGAGGTATCTCATTGATTCGAAGATGGGTCTGGGTTTACTCATAGTTATATGAAAGGGCTTGACATTTGACGAGAGAAAATTTTTTTGAATTAAATTAACAATTAAGCACCTGTCATGTTCAAGTGTATAGGTGACTCA